GTATTCTTTGAAACACAACCCTTCTAACTAATACGAGTATTTTGTGAACGCAATCACTTTTGATTAATACTAGAATCACTTAGAAGTAGTCACTCCTAGTTAAAGATGAATATGTGATCACAAAGATTACAAGGGTTGCCTATTAAAGAGGTGAGTGTCTTCAACATGTATAAAGTTTAATCACTCTTACTATTTTCTATTTAAACATCTTGTGAAGATGAAAGCGATAAATTTTTACACTTATATAGCACTTCTCTACATTTCTTCAAATGAAGGATTATCTCAATATTAATGTGGGAAAGAATGGTTTTTGCGATTACGATTTTTTCTCATTGTGATGTTTAGAGATGTCTTATTCTTATTGTATTTGTCTACATTTAAATGAACGAATGCATTAAATGCGTTTTTAGCACCATTAAATACTTGTATTCTTCTCAAGTTCCTAAAAAATGGCATGACTAGCTAAACTTAAGTTGGAAATCATACATAAAAAAATAGTCTTTCAAGGTTTGACAAAAAAAGTGTGTTAGGATGTTTATTAGTATGGAACACCTTTAAGTGTGTCTCCTAAGAGATTTTTGATGTAAGCATTTGAGAATTTTTGTATGAGAAGAAGATATTCTTTGAACAAATATATAAAATAATTGAGAAGAATTAATAATTGTATTTGTATTGTCTACTTAAGACTTTCACTTATCAAACAAAATAAAAACAACAAGGTGTTACATTATTTGAGAGAATAAACATTTACGTTTTACACGATGTTAAAAAGAAGCTTGTATTTATGAAATAAAACATGATCATGTTTTCTACTTTTTTATAATAATATTTAATCAAATAAATAAAATTGAGTAGATTTTTCTCTAACAACCACAATGTCAAGAAAAGAAAAGAAAATATAGAAATAATGAAAGATTTCATATTTATATATCCTAATCTTATTAATCTCCAAACATTATCAAAACATTTAATGACAATTGATAATTTAGTCAACTTCACTTACCAATTGTCATATGTTCGTTAAAAACTTGCTACCACACAGTAAGTAAAGAAAAAGTTAGAAGCTTTTAGCTACCTTTTATAAAACCTAATTGCATGAACTACAAACATCAATATTACCTTACTAGACTCATATTACATCTTTCCCTACACCAAGATTACATGAGTATAATTCTAACTACACGCAACACAACATAGCATCTCATATATTTAAAGAAAATAAAACTTACTCTATTTAAGTTTATTTAAGTACACCTTATCAGTTTTTGTGTGTTCGGTACTATCAGAAGAGAAATAATAATTAAACGTAGAAGAAATATTGGTCAAACCCGACACTGAAAAAATAGCCAAAGAAAAAATACGTAGCAGCTAGATGAAGAATAACGTAGAGTATATATCTAATGCCAATTAATTATGAGTTATGTGATTTAAAAATGATTCTTGATTGACGAGATTTAAAATGTATTTCCGTGTTATACAATTCAAAAAATATTTTTGAATGGAAAATTTGTTATATTTTTAATATGGGAAAATAAATTTTTGAATTAATGAATTTGAAAAAAATATTCTGTTTAAAAAAAATAAGTAGTAGAATTATAAAATATTTATTTTTAATTTTAATTAACAGATTAAAATATTATTTTAAATTAATATATTCAAAAGTATAATCATTTCCACATATATGAAGAATAGAAATGAAAAATTTATGAAGATTCTACGTGTGTCACATCCAATATTTTTTACTATTCCACATGTGTTTAATTTAGTCTTTATTTTTTTTAGAGTTGTCAAAATGGGTCATCCTGGTCCGACCCGATCCGATCCACCACGAGTTGGTCACTTAGTGAGCCAATCCAACCCGGCTCATTTATTAGCGAGTCAGAAAAATTCGAATCCAGCTCGACCATGGGTTGGTGGGTAAACGGGTTGACTCACTAACTCACTTAATTACAATTTTTTTTAAAATAAAAAAAATTACAAACTTTCTATAATCAAATCTAAACAAATTTTCACTCTCACAAAAACAGGCGGTGTTTAATTAATTTGAAAATAAGGAACTTAAATAATTTTTTCAAACAAAATACAAAATAATAAAATATTTTTTATAAAATAAATTAAATTTTAATAAAAAAAATTAGGGTAGGTGTGGTTGGTGGACAACCCGGCTCCACCACAGGATTTCACCGCGAATGAGCCGAGTAGTTTAAAACGAGTCGGGTTGAAATGAACTGACCTGCATAAACAAAAGGAGACAATTGTTTCTAACTCCAACCCGACTCAAACCGTGGTGGGTCAGGTTGGCTGCAGGTGTGACCATTTCACAGCTCTAATTTTGTGTTGATTTAATTTGGTTTTGTTGCATATTGCGAAACTAAATCTATGGAGGTTTTGAACATAAACAATAAATTATATTTTATTTCTTCTATATTGAAATAAATGGTTTTATATTATATTTAATGATATAGTCAAATAAAATATAAAAACTCTTTTATGGGTTTTTAGATTTAACAACCTATATTGTATTAAAAAATATATAAAGATTTTTTTTGTTAACGATATTATTTTTATATTTACAACCAAAAAACTAAGTATTATTAACCATCAAAATTTGTTAAAAATGTCAAAAATATTAAAATTCGTTTATAAAAATATAATTGATAATATTTATTGATAAAAATTTATATCTATTAGTAATTATGAAAGAAAAAAATGTCCTTAATTATGTAAGAAAAAAAATATTAGTGAAATGTGGCAATAAATAAGAAGAAAGAAAGCATACATTAATTATCTTTAATCTAAACATTATTTTTATGTGCGATTTTTGTTTTATAATCCAAATAGGATATACGAAACATGTATCTGATGTATTACTAAAGTAATTTAATTATAATACAATGAGATGTATACTAATGGTAAAATATTGATCTTAAAAATTATGAAAGAAAAGAAGAAAGAGATATATGACTGATTATTATTAGGACGACATCAAAACATGTAAAAATATATTCTTGATTTGTGTTTCACGTATTGGTTTGTATGTTCTTCTAATATCCTTAAAAGGATGTTTGAAAAAGATTCTCCAACGCTTCAAGTCAACACTTGACTTAAAAAACCTAAGTCAAACCTGGATTAAATGTAAAAAGTGAAAGTCAAATAATTATTAATGTACTATTTATATGATATTTCATTGACCATAGACTCCATTCAAATAAGTCACAACTTAAGGGTCCATTAGTTCTAAGACTAATTGTCAATATTTGTGAAGCAGTCGTCGTTTGTAATCCTATGATACTAATGATCTTAGTAAGTATTTAAGAGGCCATCGGTAGCCTCGAATGTTCATATCTGGACATGGTGTGATATTTCAAATATCTGAGGTTCTCTGTTTGATAGCAGACTATTCAATACCAAACTTGACTGGCTTCAATATAACTAAGTTGTAGATCGTGATTAACATGACCGCATAAATCTATAATCGTATACAAATGGATAATGTTCTATTATAAAGTGTGTAAAAAAAATATGATTTTAATCACATCATTTTTCATTTGTTTTTTCTTATAATCCTTATCAGACATATTTTTAATCTTTGCCATTTTATTATTTCGTCTAAATTCTAAGAACGTCTCCGATATCACAAAAATATTAAAACGAATCAATAAACCACTAATATATTGAAAAACATAAATAGTGAACAATTGCAACTTAAAAAAATATAGTCTTAAATTAAGCAACATTTGTCTGAGGACTAGTAATCCAATGTTAGAAGAGAGGAACAAGATATAAAAAAAGTGAAAATCATAAAAAATAATAAACTAAAAACATAAATTATCTAAAAGAAATACATGTAATAACTATCATGTAACATATTTTATGTGACAAGCAAGTTAATGTTATCTTAAAGCATAGAATGAATATAGTTTTAATTTTGTAAACTAGGAAAAACTCCATTTCAATCTCCCCTTCATAAACAAAAGTGTACGTATTTTAAAAATATGGAAAACAAAAATATTTGTTCTCATAAACTTTAAAGAAGGCATGATGATTTCAATTTAATTTGTGATTGTTAATCAAATTTAAAAGGTATCGAAAAGTAATTTAAACTTTTAACTTTTACATTCCTTCTTAGTTACAAACACGTTCGTGCATTAAATAAGTTCAGAACAGTGTTATTTTATTAAATTCTAAGTCTCAAAAATTTCAAATTAATTTATTACCAGTTGTAATTTAATTAATGTATTTATTAGAAGAGTTTTTTTTTAATAATTCTGTTTGAAAAGGTAATGTGTTTATTAAATGTGGAGAGAGATAGATAATAGATGTGTTATAGCGAGATACACGTCGGAGAGGTTGTTGAGTTCTGGTGTTTTCTATGGGTGAATTAGGTATAAATATTAGTTTATTTTTAATAATTTGCTTACGAGGAGAAGAAGAAAAAGAAGTAGTTAAGATTGTGAAATCCATGTTTACACAACAATCCATTGCAAAGCACGAAGGCAATCCAAAACAACACAAACGACAACAGACAATACAACACTCCTATATTGGATCCTACCTCAACTTCTTCCATTTTTCAACTCCACACAAAACCCAAAACCTTCCTTCAGACAAACACTTAATTTCCATATTCGAATCGATCGAATTCAAATAATGGTTTCGCGAAAACACACACAAGCAAAAAGCCCATCGATGTCCAAGAGGAGCAACCCCCGATCCGCACGACACTGCGCCAAACCCCCGATTCCCATGCCGCCACGCTCCTCCACCTTCTTTCAACCAGATTCCGGATTGCTTCGCCGCGGCCACTGACCGCGGCTTCCGCATTATACAACTGCGACCCTTCCGGGAGATCTTCCGCCGCGATTCGGCCAGAGGGGGGGGGGGGTGGGTTAGGTGTCAAAAATGCTCTGCTGCAACAAAAAGACGAGTATCGTGGTGGCGGCGCCGACCCACGCTACCCCCAACAAGGTATGATCTGGGACGACCACCAGTCCCCGCTGCAATTTCCCGGCGAGCTATCCTTCCGCTCTGAGGTGAAGGTGCGTCCGGCTCGGCGCGACCGCATCGTGGTGGTCCTGGCGCACAAGATCTTTGTGTACAACTTCTCGATCTTAAGGTGCTGCACCAAATTGAGACCATCGCGAACCCTAAGGGCCTCTGCGACCTCTCCCACGTTTCGGCCACCATGGTCCTAGTCTGCCCCGGGTTGCAGAAGGGGCAGGTTAGGGTTGAGCACTACGCCTCCAAGAGAACCAAGTTCATCATGGCGCACGATTCCCGAATTGCTTGTTTTTCTCTCACGCATGATGGCAGGTTGCTCGCCACCGCCAGCTCCAAGGGCACCCTCATTAGGCTCTTCAATACCCTCGACGGTTCATTGCTCCAAGAGGTGAATTCAATGTCATTTCCTCTTTCTCTCTTTTCTTCAAGGATAAATCTCATGTGTTGTTAGTATTGTTAATAGAATTAGAGTTTTACTTTGGTAATTTATGTCGTAAAGCTTTTCGATTTTGCATAAAAGATCAACATGGGTTATATAAGTGAAACTCACATTTTTATTGGAAAAGCAGTAAGGAATTGCATTCAAGTCTTTTCCTTTGTGTAATCCTCCTATAAATCTTCCCAATACCATATGAATAATATATTAAATAAAAATTGAATAAATTACGTTGGCGCCATTTTTGTTTCTTTAGTTTGCTCTCAATATAAATAAAGGGTGTCAGGGTAATGTGTTTCAAGTAACTAAGAGGGGTTGAGTGGAATCCTGAAAAATGTCGGCGTCTGTGATTTGCTCAAATAAATCTGATACGGTTTAGCATAGTCGGAGCTAAATGTGTGCTTAGTAACTGAGAAATAAATTGCATTTAATGTTTTGAGATGTTAGTGATGAGATCAAAGTGATTTGGAGGTTTGAATGGGAATCTGTGGGTGATTATTTTCAGGTAAGGAGGGGTGCAGACCGAGCAGAGATATACAGCCTTGCATTCTCTCCTACTGCGCAGTGGCTTGCTGTTTCTAGTGACAAGGGGACCGTTCATGTTTTCAACCTGAAGGTTGATTCTGGACTGATGGGGCATGACAGATCGAACAGTACTTCTGAGGCTAATCCTGCTAACCCTACTGCTGTTTCATCTCTTTCATTTATTAAAGGTTTGTGCGCCATGGATTTTTTGTGAATGATGTTTTCTGGAAATTTAGTGTCATGGTTAGTGATTGTGAAAGAACTAGAACAACAATAGTTGCTGTCGTGTTTTTAAATTGCAATACAATTGCAGTTGCAGCTGCAGTTTTTTCATAATCCTTGATGTTGCTTACAAATGTAGCTGATGCAACTGCAATTGAGGCTGTAGACTGTATTTTAGAACCTTGGTCATTTTAACATTACCAAGGTTCATTCAGTCTTGAAATTATTAATTATGTGATGAAATTTGTTGCTTGTGATTATATAATTTTGTCTGTTTTTACAGGTGTGCTACCTAAGTATTTTAGCTCGGAGTGGTCCGTGGCTCAATTTCGCTTGCAAGAAGGTTTGCAGTATATTGTGGCATTTGGCCATCAAAAGAATACAATTGTAATACTAGGCATGGATGGCAGGTATGTCAGTAGTGCATCATATTCGTGCTCTCTTAAGTTTGTCATGCTCTGCCATTTTATGTTTTGTTTTTTGAAATGGGGGAGGGGTGTTGCTCAAGAGATATTAGAGATTGAGTATGGTGGAATAATGATTGATTTTAGGACTTGACTCTAGAGCCTACTTCATATCACTGCATTAAACTTCTATTTATGTGTATACCTGTGCATTGTTTTTCTAAAATTGACCAATGTTGGTGGCTTCATTCAGGTTTTGTGCTTATGGTAGTCTTAAAAACAGAAAAAATGAGATAGGTTTTTACAGTCCTAAAGTGGATGGTGTGTCGTTATTTTTCATATTTAAAGGTTCAATCAAGGTTAAGATGCTTCTTTGAATTTTGGCACCAGAAGGCTTGCTGCATCGTTATTTTGTTGTTTTATTTATAATCTTTTCATCTCAAGCAAATGATGAAAGGATGCATGTTTTGGAAAACATTATATCGTAAAACAAGTGTATAAGATGATTTAAATATGGGGATCTACCTATATAACGTTGTATCTGAAACGAGCACTAGTTCCTTGTTTTGTGGCATGGTATTTTTGCTGTAAATGGAAATTGTAACTATTGAAATTGTTGATGCAGCTTCTACCGATGTCAGTTTGACTCCTCGAGCGGTGGAGAAATGACCCAACTTGAATATTATAATTTCCTAAAGGCAGAAGACACATTCTAGTTGAGTATGGATGCATCATGTATATACCTTCAGTGGATCTTGCTTTCAATACTATTTGGATTTTCTGTTCAGTTCGTTGTTTGAAACTTTTAAACTGTAAATATGAGTACTGCTAAATCCACTAATGTTGTTCAATTTACTCTGTTGGGTGCTTGTATATATGAATTATTAACACCTGATTACAAATTAGAATGAATTGTCAGCAGCATTGTCTCCAGATTCACTACAGCCCTTGAAGCTGGTTATCGTCTAATGTTTAAATTTGTTTGGTTCAATTGAATTCGCTAGGATATTTGTGGTCTTTGAACACTGTTTCGTTTTACTCATGGATCGTTGGTTGACTGATAGCAGCTTACGGTAAATGTCAATGAGAGGAACAAAGGAATACCCTGTAGCTTTCATTGTCAAGTTTTATTTTGAAATATAATGTATTGAAAAAGAAAATCACTAATTAATTTCGATCTATTAAAATCATTTTAAATTTTTTATGTCAGGTCAGGATATATAAAAAGTTGATTAAAAACGAGTTCAGGACATATAACACGTTATCTAATTGAAGAAAAAATATAAAAATATAAAAAGTAGATTAAAAATGCCTAAATGTATAAACTTAAATTTTAATTAAACATTGTATATAAAATAACGAATATTAATATAGTAAAGTTATTTAGTTTTAATTAATAACGTTGTATTTTATTTTTGGAAAATGTTTCTATTTAGTGCTTATACCTAGGACGTCTATTTTAAAAGTAATTATTGTTTATTTTCCAAACCAATTCTTAAAACGTATTTTTTTTAACCTTTTCNTTATAAACATTAGTATTTTTATTTAAACATTTATATGTAAAATTTAACTCTTTTTTGTTCTCTATGTTCTTGAATACCACTTTTCACGGTTCTATGTCTGTTCATAACATTTTCTACAAACCTTTCTATATTTTTTGTATTCATTTTTATTTTTTCATAATAATAATTTTTTACAATATCTTGTGCTGGTTTGGCGATCTCTTTCATTTATAGTGTACATCATAATTTTTGTCTTTCATTTCATCTTAATCATGATTTATCGTGGAATCTGTCTTGTTAGACTTTGGGCTAATTTTTATAGAATATATATATTTTTTAAAAATTTATTAACTTTTTTATAGCTAATTTTGTTTATTTCCGACTTTATTCATTGATATTTTTTAAACATTTATTATTCTCTATATTTCTAAATATTATGAAACATTACATGTATAGATTTACTTATTTTTCAATAGAAATTATTGTATGACAAACATCACTTCTTCTTCTTTTTATATTTTTTAAATATTTTTCTTTCTCAACCTTTTCATTTTTTCANATTGTATTACACAGCTGAAAAGATGTGAAAATGTCAACATTGTAAAACATGTATGCAAACATTATGATCCCGATTGAAATTTCTGGCAGTTACATTCGAAATTGTAACTAGATAGAAGGGGAGCAAAGTGGTTGAGCACCTAAATTCACTATGACTGTGTTCACTTGTGAAGAATGTGTACACTTGTGAAGAATACACTGTTCAACATGATTTGTGTAAACGGACCGAAAAGAAAGGAAAAACACGGATTTGCATGATATATCACTTTTTGAATCATCACATATGTGCAAAGATTTATGGTGATTTATAAGTAATTTACATGTTTGTCCTTCTTCCATTTGATAATGGAGTAATTGAGTATGAGTAATCAAATTTATTTTGAAAAGAAAGACCAAAATCCACATCTTGTATTCGGACAGCACATATTCAAATCCACACCAGTCGAATTCTGCAGCATTATTTAAATAATAATAATAATAAATAAAATAAAAATAATAATAATAATAATTATTATTATTATTATTATTTCAATTTATTAAATTACTATTTTTTTACATTTTAATAATTAATTTTAATATTTTTCTTCTTATAAATATTTTTACAATTAAATATAACATTAACAATTATCATTTTATATCATTTTAATAACTAGAGATATTTTGGTAATCTTCAATTTCTATCAATTAAACAATTTTGTTTTATCTCTCACATCAATCAAATCCTACACTAATTCTCATAAACTTTAATTCCAAATCCATTCTCATTTGTATTCAAATCCACTCAAACAAACAACAATTAATTCGCCCTTAGATCCTCTCAAATTCACTCATTCACTCTCCCTCAATTCTTCTCCTCCAAGTGAACACATCCTTATTCTTTTCCTTTTATTTTTTATTTGAAAAGGTTCTAAAGTAAATGAATGACAAAAATATCTATATTTGTAGCAAATATTTATGTTTCCAAGTATTTATTTTTTTATGAATAGTAATATTAAATAAGTCAAATATTGATATATAATTTGAATTTATGAGTATTCACTGTTCATTAAAAAATTAAAATTAAATATATATTTTATTAATTTAGATTTAATTAAAATTAAAATTAATTTATATTTTATTAATTTAAATTTAATTAAAATTAAAATTAATTTATATTTTATTAAATTTAATTAAAATTAAAATTAATTTATATTTTATTAAATTTAATTAAAATTAAATTTAAATAAAATTAAATTTTAATTTATGTTATATTTTATTTTTTAATTTTATTTTAAAAATTTATAAAGTAATTTTTTTAATATTTGTAACTATTCACGAGTGCTTACAAATTTTAAAATATCTTGTAAATAATTTTTAAATAGATATCTTATAAAAAAAATTATTATAACAATAATATTATCTGAATCTGACGCGATCTGGAATTATCCTAATTGAGACGCTTTTAAGAGTATTCTCCAACAATAAGACATTCTTTTATTTTTCTGTCCTCACAATGTTAATTCTTAAAATATCAACATACTTTTGGTCAAACTATGTTAGATTCTTAAAAAGTATTGAGGTAACTGTCTTTCTCTCAGATCTATGTTTTTCTTTATAGATTAAAGAAGAGCAGCGGTAGAATGATGTATATAAAAGAGTGAATTTTTATATTTTTTTAAGAAAAAAAAGAGTAAAAAAGATAATATCAAATAAATATAAAATATGTGTGTTAAAAGTGAACGATTGTACCTCAAATAGTTATCCTTCTAAAGTTGTTTTTTCTTTTTATAAACATTAGTATTTTTATTTAAACATTTATATGTAAAATTTAACTCTTTTTTGTTCTCTATGTTCTTGAATACCACTTTTCACGGTTCTATGTCTGTTCATAACATTTTCTACAAACCTTTCTATATTTTTTGTATTCATTTTTATTTTTTCATAATAATAATTTTTTACAATATCTTGTGCTGGTTTGGCGATCTCTTTCATTTATAGTGTACATCATAATTTTTGTCTTTCATTTCATCTTAATCATGATTTATCGTGGAATCTGTCTTGTTAGACTTTGGGCTAATTTTTATAGAATATATATATTTTTTAAAAATTTATTAACTTTTTTATAGCTAATTTTGTTTATTTCCGACTTTATTCATTGATATTTTTTAAACATTTATTATTCTCTATATTTCTAAATATTATGAAACATTACATGTATAGATTTACTTATTTTTCAATAGAAATTATTGTATGACAAACATCACTTCTTCTTCTTTTTATATTTTTTAAATATTTTTCTTTCTCAACCTTTTCATTTTTTCATTATAGATTATTTATATTTATTCAAAATTTTCATATAAATCTTACTATTTTTCAAAAACTTACTTGTCTTATTTTCTAAACCTCGGTTCAGCACGCTTCGTTTAGTTAGATAAATTATTATTTTCTAAACTATATCGTTCTAACTTCTATCACACATCTACTATTAGAACTCATTAAAAACCCAAGTTAATGGAAGCTAGGCTGGTATTTCACGTGGCAACACCGTTTGTCACATCTACTAAAACTTAACACCGTCCAATTTCAAGGACTAATACTCAAAGTTTCAAAACTATAAGGACTAAAAACCATCAAAGTTTTGAGTAGGGACTAAAACCAAAATCATGTGATACTTAAAGGACGAAAAACATATTTAACCCTTAATTAAATTACATAAGCTTACCTTATTTCCTGTCTTGTCTGTGTGTCCTTTCCGTTGTCGTTTTCTGTTGCAATGATCATCCATGTGGATGTAAGCAGAAGGAGAAGAGTTGCTGGAAGAAGCTCTTGTAGAAGTGGAAGTGAAGGTCGAACAGTTCGGTTATTATTGCTACTTATGTTCTGTAGAACCATTCGGTATTGGTGATTTTGGAAACCGTTCGGTCTAGGCGGTAGAATTTTAAAGTTTAAATTTTGTAGTATTTTGATAAGACCGTTTGGCCAGAATTGTACTTCTTAACCTCGAAACTGAACTGTAATATTGTTAATATATGGATATTTTAGATATGATTTTATGCTGTATTTTTGGGATGCTACATCTACTAGAAATACTCACATACTTTTCTGATATTTTATTCAATATCATACATTTTAAATTTTATTAGTTAAAATTTAGCATGTATTTTTAACATTACTTTTTTCACTACTATGTTTTTTAAGTATTTATTTATCATTGTCATTATTTATAATTTGATAAATTTATTATAAAGTTGATATTTCAATTGGAAAAATTAATTAAAAATCTATGCTTATTATTATTTTTTAATTTTATTAAATTTCTTTAAATTTTTATAAAGAAAAAAAATTAATTAGCCCAATGTTGGCGCAATCCCCTCCCAAACTAATCCAGAATCCGGACTAAATTTTTTATGATATTTATGTGTTTTCAAAATATATTAATTTTAATATTTTAAAAAACATACTAAAAAGTTTTTAATATACCAAAATATTAATTTCAAAATGTCCTGATTTTGATATTTTTATATTGTCCTTCAAAATGCATCTCACCAAGTTAAATCTTAACTCAGACCTGGTGATCGATATTTTTGAATAATTCGCATAATATTCAGAGTTAAAACATTTAATGTTGTTGGATCAGTGGCTGATAAATATCACTAATGTTTGATCGTGATTTTACACCTAATGTTGAAAAGGTTCACTTGCAGGATAAATTGTATGCATCGCATTAGTAGCTGATAAAGATCACTTATATTTTGAGAGTTTTGCTGTTAGTCTGCCACGAGAAGTTCTGAAATCATGTTGCACTTTTCTCTTTCGTTTCCTTTTGGAGCTTGACACCATCCCTGACTTTCTCTTCACTCCCATTCTTTCTAGGCGCTGGCGACGGATCTCAGGATCAGCCCAACCCTTTCCCCATTCTGAGAATGAGGAAAATGGTTTCTCAGTTAATTTTCTTGCAAGCAACATATCTGCTTCAGGGTAAACCCAGAAAGCTTCCTCATTCATGGACCTCACAAATTCCGGGAATTTTGCCTGAACATGGGTCTGCAATTGTATGGTGGAAACTGTGAGATCAAATCACAGAATTACCACAGCACATAACTGCATATTGCAGATAATACAGCAATAAGATAGTCACACGTTGGAGTTTAGAGCTTGGGTGAATGTATTGAAGAGCAAATCAGTGGCACATCTCCATATAAATGCGGAATGCAGAAATATCTTTCTGGTCAGTCCTTAAATTTTAAAAACCTCCATAAAAAGAGCTTTCCATGAGTTATATTATTAATCTCTCTGAATTTTTTTCTTCTAGGATCACTACTTAATTGTATACTTTTTTTATTTTAAGCGGCAACAAAATTTATGGACAGATTTTGTAATTATAAATATATAGTATTTTCATGTATAAAAACTATAAAGACAAGTTATTTCTGGGTAAAGCAATTAAGTATACCTCGTCATCTCCTTCTCTGATGTATCCTTTAACTTCCAAAATTCGAGCAAGACCTCTCCACCATAACATGTCAGTGGTTGAAAACTTTTGAAACTGTATACGGACATTTCTCAAGTGAAAACAAGTCTGGTTTCATGGATTAGCAACAAAAGGAACACCCAATATATCAAACAGTAAGAAATGACAATAATAACTAGGTTCACCTGCTGCCTTATTTTTTCAACCAACATCCTAAGATTCGGCCTCTCTCCTTGTCCTCTGTAATTGTAGTCAAAATGTATATCATCGTCATATGAGTAATCCTTGGAATCCCTACGCCCCTGCTAAATTAATATCCATGTCACGTCCTTTTCACCTATAATGGAATAAAGAAAATACAACAAGTTTGTTCCACAAAACTCGACCTATACTAAAACTATAGGTCCTGGAACTCCAAAAACGAAGCAGTTGTTTAATCAAGTCATCAAATTGAAACTTAAACCCACAGAAACAGGCACATACACAACTAGGAAGATGTACTCATGTTTTGAAAAATATGCTTTCAAAGTTCGAGACAATTTTGATATAAATTCACAACTAAGATGGAATTGATAGCGTCGTTGGTAATTGGAATAAGAATGAAACTACTCAACATACATTTTGGGCACCTATAGTTTGCAGAAAAATACAGGCCTCCTCTTTTAGATTCTGCTTTTTAGGTGGACCATCAATGCACACATCACATCTGCGTGAAAGGAGGTATATGAGGAAAGCGACAATATGAAGGGTAACATGCATTAATAACTGATTCAAACATTCTAGCTTGCTACAGGTAAATATGGAGACGGGTTAATACCTTGACTACAAAAAGAAGTAAATATGCTGATGCAATTATCAAGGCAACTTCATACCAGCTATTCTGCTCTAGAATATTTTTTTCAGTTCATGCATGCTGAAACATACAAAACAGTAAGCACTGAGACCAAACTTAACATACAAGTGACATTTCTGATGACTGAAATCCTCTCCAAAGTATTCAACGAGAATCTTTGGTCGACAGCATGAAGTATTCATTCCATATCTGTAAATATAACAAAAGGTTATGTACTACATAATAAAAATGAAAAAAGGCAAAGATGTATTTATCAAGGCAAACCTGAAACAATCAGACAACATAATATATGCTTGTTTTTTCTGATCTTCACTTTTTCGACTAGGCAAAAGAAACGGCTTGCTTGCTAGGTTTGCATACAGAACTGGTTGTTGGCCAAATGTTAGTGTTAGAAAAAGGAAAAAAAATAATGAGTAACATACACTTAAGTAAACCGAGGGAGTGATATAAGTTTAAAATCTAAAGAAGAGAGAGAGAAAAACAAACATTATAAGGTAAAAATTATATTCTAGTCTAATTTAACATACTGCAATCTGATAATTTCCCATCTCGACCAGCTCGTCCAGCTTCTTGGTAGTATGCTTCTAAACTCTGATAAAAATACCATTCACAGTTTTAGTTATTTGAGATTTCTAAAAAATAAAGACAATTCAGCTAGTGAAAGCATGAACATTGGAGTGCAGAAGAAATACAGACAGAATCCAATTCTATAATTAACTAAGGCTGGAAAAATGTATATGAATAACAGACCTGTGGCCAACCATAGTGGATGATTCTTCTGACATTTGATTTGTCAATACCCATTCCAAAAGCTATTGTAGCAACAATAACCTGAATGATAAAACACACGCGGATACATGTTGTTTGGTCAAACTTTTTAAGGTTCCAGGATGAAGGAAATTACATAAATTATGTAGTAATTTCACAATCAACATCGGAATAAACAAGGGTAAAAACAAATCAGATCCGTGTCATGCTCAAGAAATTTATTTCTTCAATTTTTGGGGCTTGATTTTACAAAAACTTCAGAAGAAGCAACAATTACAAAGAAATGTCCAACTCAGATGTTTGCCAGGCAGGGCAGGGTTTCAAATACCCAAAGCTGGAAAAAAGAATGTAAAAACATGCCCAAGCAAACATCGGAGGAAAGGGGAAGAAGAGATTGAAAAGGCCATCAAAATCAGACAAACATCCATTANTAATTAGCCCAATGTTGGCGCAATCCCCTCCCAAACTAATCCAGAATCCGGACTAAATTTTTTATGATATTTATGTGTTTTCAAAATATATTAATTTTAATATTTTAAAAAACATACTAAAAAGTTTTTAATATACCAAAATATTAATTTCAAAATGTCCTGATTTTGATATTTTTATATTGTCCTTCAAAATGCATCTCACCAAGTTAAATCTTAACTCAGACCTGGTGATCGATATTTTTGAATAATTCGCATAATATTCAGAGTTAAAACATTTAATGTTGTTTGATCAGTGGCTGATAAATATCACTAATGTTTGATCTTGATTTTACACCTAATGTTGAAAAGGTTCACTTGCAGGATAAATTGTATGCATTGCATTAGTAGCTGATAAAGATCACTTATATTTTGAGAGTTTTGCTGTTAGTCTGCCACGAGAAGTTCTGAAATCATGTTGCACTTTTCTCTTTCGTTTCCTTTTGGAGCTTGACACCATCCCTGACTTTCTCTTCACTCCCATTCTTTCTAGGCGCTGGCGACGGATCTCAGGATCAGCCCAACCCTTTCCCCATTCTGAGAATGAGGAAAATGGTTTCTCAGTTAATTTTCTTGCAAGCAACATATCTGCTTCAGGGTAAACCCAGAAAGCTTCCTCATTCATGGACCTCACAAATTCCGGGAATTTTGCCTGAACATGGGTCTGCAATTGTATGGTGGAAACTGTGAGATCAAATCACAGAATTACCACAGCACATAACTGCATATTGCAGATAATACAGCAATAAGATAGTCACACGTTGGAGTTTAGAGTTTGGGTGAATGTATTGAAGAGCAAATCAGTGGCACATCTCCATATAAATGCGGAATGCAGAAATATCTTTCTGGTCAGTCCTTAAATTTTAAAAACCTCCATAAAAAGAGCTTTCCATGAGTTATATTATTAATCTCTCTGAATTTTTTTCTTCTAGGATCACTACTTAATTGTATACTTTTTTTATTTTAAGCGGCAACAAAATTTATGGACAGATTTTGTAATTATAAATATATAGTATTTTCATGTATAAAAACTATAAAGACAAGTTATTTCTGGGTAAAGCAATTAAGTATACCTTGTCATCTCCTTCTCTGATGTATCCTTTAACTTCCAAAATTCGAGCAAGTCCTCTCCACCATAACATGTCAGTGGTTGAAAACTTTTGAAACTGTATACGGACATTTCTCAAGTGAAAACAAGTCTGGTTTCATGGATTAGCAACAAAAGGAACACCCAATATATCAAACAGTAAGAAATGACAATTATAACTAGTTTCACCTGCTGCCTTATTTTTTCAACCAACATCCTAAGATTCGGCCTCTCTCCTTGTCCTCTGTAATTGTAGTCAAAATGTATATCATCGTCATATGAGTAATCCTTGGAATCCCTACGCCCCTGCTAAATTAATATCCATGTCACGTCCTTTTCACCTATAATGGAATAAAGAAAATACAACAAGTTTGTTCCACAAAACTCGACCTATACTAAAACTATAGGTCCTGGAACTCCAAAAACGAAGCAGTTGTTTAATCAAGTCATCAAATTGAAACTTAAACCCACAGAAACAGGCACATACACAACTAGGAAGATGTACTCATGTTTTGAAAAATATGCTTTCAAAGTTCGAGACAATTTTGATATAAATTCACAACTAAGATGGAATTGATAGCGTCGTTGGTAATTGGAATAAGAATGAAACTACTCAACATACATTTTGGGCACCTATAGTTTGCAGAAAAATACAGGCCTCCTCTTTTAGATTCTGCTTTTTAGGTGGACCATCAATGCACACATCACATCTGCGTGAAAGGAGGTATATGAGGAAAGCGACAATATGAAGGGTAACATGCATTAATAACTGATTCAAACATTCTAGCTTGCTACAGGTAAATATGGAGACGGGTTAATACCTTGACTACAAAAAGAAGTAAATATGCTGATGCAATTATCAAGGCAACTTCATACCAGCTATTCTGCTCTAGAATATTTTTTTCAGTTCATGCATGCTGAAACATACAAAACAGTAAGCACTGAGACCAAACTTAACATACAAGTGACATTTCTGATGACTGAAATCCTCTCCAAAGTATTCAACGAGAATCTTTGGTCGACAGCATGAAGTATTCATTCCATATCTGTAAATATAACAAAAGGTTATGTACTACATAATAAAAATGAAAAAAGGCAAAGATGTATTTATCAAGGCAAACCTGAAACAATCAGACAACATAATATATGCTTGTTTTTTCTGATCTTCACTTTTTCGACTAGGCAAAAGAAACGGCTTGCTTGCTAGGTTTGCATACAGAACTGGTTGTTGGCCAAATGTTAGTGTTAGAAAAAGGAAAAAAAATAATGAGTAACATACACTTAAGTAAACCGAGGGAGTGATATAAGTTTAAAATCTAAAGAAGAGAGAGAGAAAAACAAACATTANAAAAAAAAAACTGAAATATATAGAACATACTAAAACAGACTAGATAAATACATACAATTATGCATGAAACTGGTAAGATATAGAAAAAATGTTGAAATAGAAAAAAATTGAAGCAGTTGTTGAGTAACCTAAAACCTATCTGAATGAATTTGTCGGAGATTGTTTTGACGCATCCATATCTAGCAGCACGTCGATTGCATCGGGGAAAGAAGTGATGATTCTAAATTGAATTTTCCTCAATTGAAGGGCAAAGTCCAATGCCTGGTTCATGGTGGCTCGAGCACCCGATATTGCTTCAACAAGCTCTGCATTGGTCAAGTAAGTGCTGCATATTTGGCTCAAAATTCTGTCGTGTCGTTCTTGGAATCTCACAGCTCTTTCCTCCGCCGCTTCCAACGCCTCGCTAACCATTTTTAGTTTCTCGGCAGCCAGGTGTTTCCGATGCCATCTCTTGATGTTTGGGACGCAAAACAAGAAGGAGGCGGAGAAGCCTATTACCGCGTAAACGATGTGGCCCAGCTTCATCATCACCGGTGATTTTCGTGCTTCAACTTCTCCAAACGCCCATATATGACCATCATGACAATGGAGAGAGACCCCTGTAAGTACCTTGCTTCGCTTTTGAGTTACCACATTTCTTTTCCTTCAATTCAGTTATCTATTCTCTTTCTCTCTATTTGTGGGGAAATGAAAATGCATATTTACTGCCAAACATAAATCCATTATCATCAAATTTACATGTAGATGTTTTTCCTTTTTTTTTAATACTTCAGAAGTTTAATTTTCATTTCATTTTATTGAATTTAGAATATTGTTTTACATTAATTTTAATGGTTATTAAAATAGATAGTTCAAGGTAATTAGGTTTTATTTAGTTTTAAGTTAATGGTCTGATCTCCCCTTACTTTAATAGGATTTTTCAAAATTGGATAAAATGTGAAAAGAAGTTAATATTAAGATACAAATTTACAAAGTTATAAAAGAAATAGAATAAAATATGTAATTAAGTGTTTTAACTTTTAGTGTTTTTTTAATAATTTTAATAGTATTATATAATACTATCCATAAAACAAACTAATATACCTACTTATAACTATTTGCAATTTTTCAAGACAACTTTCACCCCTAAGTTGGTGTAAGACAACTATAGAAGTGTAGATATTCTTATATCAAATAGAACTATATAATAAAACTATTTTAATCTAATAAAAGATAAAATAATCTAACTATAAACAAAAAGTACATCAAATGGTTTCTAAAAGTTTGTATCATTTATGTATAGATTTCTAAAATGCTAGAGTATACTAAATATTTTAATGCTGTTTATATATAAAATGAAAATTAATTAAACTAATTATTTGTAATTTTATAAATTTATCATAGATTTAACATTTCAATCAAAAAATTAACTAAAAGTTTGTGCTTACTATTATATTTTCTTAAATTTATTAACAGTTTGATAAATTAGAATCTTAATCTACCTCCTTTTCGAACTCACTTTGCTTATTCTCCAAATCCGCATATTATTGTTTTTTTGTTTTTTATTTTGGGTTAGTGAGAATGAAGTTAAGTGTTGGTGTTTTCAAGATTGGGGTCAGGGATTTGTGCCTCATAAATCTTGAATTGAATTGGTGAAATGTTTGATGAGAAGTTGTAAATCTCTAAAATCTTATATTGTATTACACAGCTGAAAAGATGTGAAAATGTCAACATTGTAAAACATGTATGCAAACATTATGATCCCGATTGAAATTTCTGGCAGTTACATTCGAAATTGTAACTAGATAGAAGGGGAGCAAAGTGGTTGAGCACCTAAATTCACTATGACTGTGTTCACTTGTGAAGAATGTGTACACTTGTGAAGAATACACTGTTCAACATGATTTGTGTAAACGGACCGAAAAGAAAGGAAAAACACGGATTTGCATGATATATCACTTTTTGAATCATCACATATGTGCAAAGATTTATGGTGATTTATAAGTAATTTACATGTTTGTCCTTCTTCCATTTGATAATGGAGTAATTGAGTATGAGTAATCAAATTTATTTTGAAAAGAAAGACCAAAATCCACATCTTGTATTCGGACAGCACATATTCAAATCCACACCAGTCGAATTCTGCAGCATTATTTAAATAATAATAATAATAAATAAAATAATAATAATAATAATTATTATTATTATTATTATTTCAATTTATTAAATTACTATTTTTTTACATTTTAATAATTAATTTTAATATTTTTCTTCTTATAAATATTTTTACAATTAAATATAACATTAACAATTATCATTTTATATCATTTTAATAACTAGAGATATTTTGGTAATCTTCAATTTCTATCAATTAAACAATTTTGTTTTATCTCTCACATCAATCAAATCCTACACTAATTCTCATAAACTTTAATTCCAAATCCATTCTCATTTGTATTCAAATCCACTCAAACAAACAACAATTAATTCGCCCTTAGATCCTCTCAAATTCACTCATTCACTCTCCCTCAATTCTTCTCCTCCAAGTGAACACATCCTTATTCTTTTCCTTTTATTTTTTATTTGAAAAGGTTCTAAAGTTAATGAATGACAAAAATATCTATATTTGTAGCAAATATTTATGTTTCCAAGTATTTATTTTTTTATGAATAGTAATATTAAATAAGTCAAATATTGATATATAATTTGAATTTATGAGTATTCACTGTTCATTAAAAAATTAAAATTAAATATATATTTTATTAATTTAGATTTAATTAAAATTAAAATTAATTTATATTTTATTAATTTAAATTTAATTAAAATTAAAATTAATTTATATTTTATTAAATTTAATTAAAATTAAAATTAATTTATATTTTATTAAATTTAATTAAAATTAAATTTAAATAAAATTAAATTTTAATTTATGTTATATTTTATTTTTTAATTTTATTTTAAAAATTTATAAAGTAATTTTTTTAATATTTGTAACTATTCACGAGTGCTTACAAATTTTAAAATATCTTGTAAATAATTTTTAAATAGATATCTTATAAAAAAAATTATTATAACAATAATATTATCTGAATCTGACGCGATCTGGAATTATCCTAATTGAGACGCTTTTAAGAGTATTCTCCAACAATAAGACATTCTTTTATTTTTCTGTCCTCACAATGTTAATTCTTAAAATATCAACATACTTTTGGTCAAACTATGTTAGATTCTTAAAAAGTATTGAGGTAACTGTCTTTCTCTCAGATCTATGTTTTTCTTTATAGATTAAAGAAGAGCAGCGGTAGAATGATGTATATAAAAGAGTGAATTTTTATATTTTTTTAAGAAAAAAAAGAGTAAAAAAGATAATATCAAATAAATATAAAATATGTGTGTTAAAAGTGAACGATTGTACCTCAAATAGTTATCCTTCTAAAGTTGTTTTTTCTTTTTATAAACATTAGTATTTTTATTTAAACATTTATATGTAAAATTTAACTCTTTTTTGTTCTCTATGTTCTTGAATACCACTTTTCACGGTTCTATGTCTGTTCATAACATTTTCTACAAACCTTTCTATATTTTTTGTATTCATTTTTATTTTTTCATAATAATAATTTTTTACAATATCTTGTGCTGGTTTGGCGATCTCTTTCATTTATAGTGTACATCATAATTTTTGTCTTTCATTTCATCTTAATCATGATTTATCGTGGAATCTGTCTTGTTAGACTTTGGGCTAATTTTTATAGAATATATATATTTTTTAAAAATTTATTAACTTTTTTATAGCTAATTTTGTTTATTTCCGACTTTATTCATTGATATTTTTTAAACATTTATTATTCTCTATATTTCTAAATATTATGAAACATTACATGTATAGATTTACTTATTTTTCAATAGAAATTATTGTATGACAAACATCACTTCTTCTTCTTTTTATATTTTTTAAATATTTTTCTTTCTCAACCTTTTCATTTTTTCATTATAGATTATTTATATTTATTCAAAATTTTCATATAAATCTTACTATTTTTCAAAAACTTACTTGTCTTATTTTCTAAACCTCGGTTCAGCACGCTTCGTTTAGTTAGATAAATTATTATTTTCTAAACTATATCGTTCTAACTTCTATCACACATCTACTATTAGAACTCATTAAAAACCCAAGTTAATGGAAGCTAGGCTGGTATTTCACGTGGCAACACCGTTTGTCACATCTACTAAAACTTAACACCGTCCAATTTCAAGGACTAATACTCAAAGTTTCAAAACTATAAGGACTAAAAACCATCAAAGTTTTGAGTAGGGACTAAAACCAAAATCATGTGATACTTAAAGGACGAAAAACATATTTAACCCTTAATTAAATTACATAAGCTTACCTTATTTCCTGTCTTGTCTGTGTGTCCTTTCCGTTGTCGTTTTCTGTTGCAATGATCATCCATGTGGATGTAAGCAGAAGGAGAAGAGTTGCTGGAAGAAGCTCTTGTAGAAGTGGAAGTGAAGGTCGAACAGTTCGGTTATTATTGCTACTTATGTTCTGTAGAACCATTCGGTATTGGTGATTTTGGAAACCGTTCGGTCTAGGCGGTAGAATTTTAAAGTTTAAATTTTGTAGTATTTTGATAAGACCGTTTGGCCAGAATTGTACTTCTTAACCTCGAAACTGAACTGTAATATTGTTAATATATGGATATTTTAGATATGATTTTATGCTGTATTTTTGGGATGCTACATCTACTAGAAATACTCACATACTTTTCTGATATTTTATTCAATATCATACATTTTAAATTTTATTAGTTAAAATTTAGCATGTATTTTTAACATTACTTTTTTCACTACTATGTTTTTTAAGTATTTATTTATCATTGTCATTATTTATAATTTGATAAATTTATTATAAAGTTGATATTTCAATTGGAAAAATTAATTAAAAATCTATGCTTATTATTATTTTTTAATTTTATTAAATTTCTTTAAATTTTTATAAAGAAAAAAAATTAATTAGCCCAATGTTGGCGCAATCCCCTCCCAAACTAATCCAGAATCCGGACTAAATTTTTTATGATATTTATGTGTTTTCAAAATATATTAATTNTGTATTTATCAAGGCAAACCTGAAACAATCAGACAACATAATATATGCTTGTTTTTTCTGATCTTCACTTTTTCGACTAGGCAAAAGAAACGGCTTGCTTGCTAGGTTTGCATACAGAACTGGTTGTTGGCCAAATGTTAGTGTTAGAAAAAGGAAAAAAAATAATGAGTAACATACACTTAAGTAAACCGAGGGAGTGATATAAGTTTAAAATCTAAAGAAGAGAGAGAGAAAAACAAACATTATAAGGTAAAAATTATATTCTAGTCTAATTTAACATACTGCAATCTGATAATTTCCCATCTCGACCAGCTCGTCCAGCTTCTTGGTAGTATGCTTCTAAACTCTGATAAAAATACCATTCACAGTTTTAGTTATTTGAGATTTCTAAAAAATAAAGACAATTCAGCTAGTGAAAGCATGAACATTGGAGTGCAGAAGAAATACAGACAGAATCTTATTCTATAATTAACTAAGGCTGGAAAAATGTATATGAATAACAGACCTGTGGCCAACCATAGTGGATGATTCTTCTGACATTTGATTTGTCAATACCCATTCCAAAAGCTATTGTAGCAACAATAACCTGAATGATAAAACACACGCGGATACATGTTGTTTGGTCAAACTTTTTAAGGTTCCAGGATGAAGGAAATTACATAAATTATGTAGTAATTTCACAATCAACATCGGAATAAACAAGGGTAAAAACAAATCAGATCCGTGTCATGCTCAAGAAATTTATTTCTTCAATTTTTGGGGCTTGATTTTACAAAAACTTCAGAAGAAGCAACAATTACAAAGAAATGTCCAACTCAGATGTTTGCCAGGCAGGGCAGGGTTTCAAATACCCAAAGCTGGAAAAAAGAATGTAAAAACATGCCCAAGCAAACATCGGAGGAAAGGGGAAGAAGAGATTGAAAAGGCCATCAAAATCAGACAAACATCCATTAATAAAAGCAGTTATGTGAATAGCACACCACAAATATAAGATGCAATAATGATACATCATAACTGATAATTGGCTATCTCAATTAAAATAAAACGTTTTGGTCCCTCTTTAGAGCCCCGTTCCCATCGGACATGTATAATATTTAGTTCAGGCTCCAGATACATACCTCTAAACTATTTTCGTGAAACTCTTTTTGAACCTTTCTTAGATGCAATTTGGGAAGCTGGAAAAAGAGATTGAGCACGTAAATCAGTTGAAACCCTAATAGAAAAACATAAATCAAATGCGAGAGGTGAATGTACGGCAAACATTTATTGTGTAATAGTACAGGCTAACTATTAAGTTTGGTTCCATGAAATCCACAACAAAGCATGCCAGAAGACTTCGAAATTAAACCAGACGGAAAATGTCAAGAAAAAAAAACAAAATTCTACTGCATAGTACTTCATGATGTCTTAAAATTTAAAATTCTCTTATCAACTGACATGATCAACCTGATAAATTTTAATTCACTAGCATCTAATCAAACAAGATTGAATATAATATACAACCCATACCCCTGCATTATAAGCAGCTGCCTTCACACCAAACTTGCATAGGTACTTCGCAATTCTCAGAGTTTCTTTTCTGGTGGGTACATATATGATTGTTGGTCCTTGTTCCAAAGGCTCATTATGAATTTTTACTCTTCTTTCTGGTTTCTTAGGTGTGTTGGTGTTCTTGGATAATTGCAATTCCTTGTGAGGTAGCACACGGAAGTCACCACGGGCAACTGCATTTACAAAATATCGTAATACATCATTTGATCCAATGTTACTTTCGGTTTATTAACTACATTATTTTGGGATAAAATGAGAGACCCAAAATAGCAGAAACATTAGTACCATCTAAGTTATCCACACTTTGAAAGGCATCGATATCATTCTCCAGGAATTCAATTGACAGTTCTTTCCCAGTTAAAAAGTCATCAGAGTTTCCTGAGTGCATTATATTAATATCACTATAAGCATAATCATCTTGGTTGTCATCCATGTCATCAGGTGAAACACTGTCTGTATCAGAGATACTACTAGCATCGGAGCTATTAGAAAACTGATCTGAATCATCTGAGATGAAAACCTTTTCATTTTCATCAATATTTTTCTTTCTACCATATACATGAATCAATGATGAAAATCTTTTGCATAAGAAGCCTGTGATACTTGATATGTTTACCTGTAAGAAACAACAGTGAATCTTTTCTATTGTAACAAGAGATGATATATTCAGAGAAGAATATACAAGTTATAGTAATGAACAAACTCACCATGAATCGTAAGTTAGGTCTAAAAAATGATGTAAGGCAAACTTTCGTTTCTTTTGACATTTGCAATGATTTTAAAATGTCTTCTCGTACTCTTTTTGTAGCTGTAGCTGTTAAGGCCATCAAAGGTATATCAAATTTTAAGGATTTTAGCTTGCTTGTACTGAAATTTTCTCTCAGCACAGACAGTCGCCTGAAACAAGAGCAAACATTTTAAAAACAGGTAATACTTATTAAAGTACACTAAAGACATTCAAGAAATTGTGGTATGAGCACCAAACAAAGAACAAAAGGAAATATGCACCGATAATCAATCAGATCTAAAGCAAACCACAAGTTGCATTTAAGATCATTCAAGACATTGTAATTACAGTAACTAGTCAGTTCATCTCCAATAACCATAAAAAATAAGGAAATATAGGGGTATCCGGCCTTGTAATCTGACGAAATCCTCTCCTTTTGCACCCATTCGAAACACAGTGTACCTCGTCAATTGCAAATAAAGCAATACCACGACTTTCTGCAAGCTTCTGCAGTGGTTGAATCAATCTACACGGGGTTGCAATTAAGTAACAAAACATTAAAAGATTAAAAGAAACTAAAAAGAGTAAGGCCTTTTATGGATAAAGTTATCCATAACACTTACAAGAGAATGGAATAAGAAGGCAAAATGCATCAACTCCTCCTCATCCTAATATCAACTAAAACATCTTAACTTCTGGAGAAGTTAAATGGAAAGATTTACATAAAAGTTAAGTGCAAGAGTTGCGTATAGCTTATGTAAGAAGGTTAATTCAATTTAAGGCTTTTTCATTTCCTGTAAATGTCTATGAAAAAGTTTATTCAAACATAACCTAAGTCTTCTAGGACATACGATAAGTTTCAACATCAACTTTTAGTCCATGAAGCTAAGGACAATATGAACAAGGCCACTAACCCTACCTTAGAACAGTCTCTGGGCAAATATACACTATACTATACAATCCTCTCATTGCTTTCTGTTCAACGGTATTATCTGGTTGCCCGGAGCCAAGAAAGCACGCACTGATCCCATGTCCAGTCAGCTTTAAACACTGGTCATGCATGAGGCTTATCAAGGGGCGAAATCACAACCACCACTTTCCCAGACAACAATGCAGGAATCTGAAAGCACAGAGATTTCCCTGTTCCAAAAAACATAATTATGAAAAATGCACCAAAGCTACTCTACATGCAGAGAGTAAGGCACAAACATTACCGGATCCTGTTGCAGCGAGGACAAGACAGTCTTTGTGAGCAACCCAGGCAGAGATGGCTTCCTTCTGAAACTCTTCAAAGATGAAAAACCAAAATGCTTTTTCATCAGATTACTAGTCTTCTGCTCCCAATCAGATTCAACATCCAAATCTTGCGCTTCAAAAGGCTCTGAAAGCACACTGGGATTGGGTTTAATTCCCAATTGAGGGAGTTCCTTCCTGTGTTCTTTGACATCGTCATTGGAATGGAAACGGTTCGCGAATATTATATTGGATTGTCGAACTAAACACTTACGCAAAGGTCGCTTTTTGAGAGCATTCCCATTGCGGGCATGCGAATTGGAGGTGTGGGTAGTGGATGCTTCGTCAGTAGTAGACTTGAGAATGTGTTCCACAGCGCTGGGAACAGATGGACCCACTACTTTAATGGCTTCGACTATGCTCGAATACTCGAAACCCATTTCAATCATTTCTGCAATGACTTTGTCCCAACATGTGTCGTTCCCATCCATCGCATTCCTTCCCATAAATTACAAGAAAGCAAGAAAAATCTCCTTTTGTTGAGGTTGGGAACAAAATTGAAAGGTTAGTGCGCAGAGAGCATAGAGCAGAGAAGAATGCGTATACCTGAGATGAAAGTGATGCTGCACTCAATCCCGCCAATTCTTCTGGAGGACGGTAAAGGTTACGATGAGATTTAATAAATGCATTCCAATCTCGCAATTCAAAAACACACAACTAAACGACACCGTCTTACAAAGGTCCAATTTTTACACCTTTGAATGAAAGAACTACAACCTTGTAACAACAGGACCAATCCAGGGATACCTATTGTAGGTCAATCATCCAACAACTCACATGCACCAGAAAATCACAAACTTGCACTCCAATCATAAACTCCAATGGCGACACATGCACCTAATAGGTAAATATACAGAAACCAAGCTCACTTGTTAACGAATACAATCAAATTGAGTCCGTACGTATTTATCATGGGTTATAAGTTAATGGATTTATTTACTTTTCTTTAATATAATATTTTTTTAATATGTAATTAAATTTCCAAAAAAACTAAATGATAATTATAAATAAAATTTAAATAATTTTAAAAGTTAATCCAACATATTTTAAATGTTTTTTTATATTTCTTTGATGAGTCAACTTAATTCATTACAAATTTAACTTAGACGAATTAAGTCCATTTTTCATCCTTATTGAAATTTTTAAATTTGTTTAATTCAATTTTACTTGAACCTTTTAGATTGAATTGGTTTACGTATTTTAATTTATTTTGATAATTCTAATATCTACTAGGACATCAAATAAAAACATTTTTTTATGATGAAATTGGTTTTAATTTTGTTTAAAGTAAATTAACTTTCATTACTTTATTATGTTTTACTGATATTTATTTTTTATATTTTTATTTAATTAATTTAATTTTTAAAATTAATTTAATGAATTGAATCCATAAAAAAGATAATAAAACAAAAAAAAAAAATTATAGTGATTTATATGAGTAAGAACTTGAAGAAAATAAAAAAAGATATATCAGTCGGGAAAATTGTCTAATTAGACAATAAAGTATTATTTTATATTATTTATTTGCTAATTATATTAAATTTTGTATATTACTTAATAATTATATTTAATCTTATTCTAGTATATTTTCCAACTATTCGTTTTATTAATATAAATAATTATTCAATTAAGTAATTAAAATATTAAAAATAGTTATAACATTAATAAACTAATTTGAAATTTGCTTGATCATACAACTTCAATTACAAAAAAATTGACTCAGTTATTGTATGTGACACAACTTATTTTTTTTAAGTGAAATTATCGTACTTACGAACACCTCATCCTATTATATAATATTTTGAAAATATAATCTCATAAAAAATACAAAACAAAAGTAATTTAATTCCATTTAATAAATTAACCTATATTTTAATTATAGGAGGGTTTTTCACATTACAAAGTTTTCCTTACAACATTCACACTAATACCGCTTCCTTTTCTTCAAACTTCTCAATATGTTTTTTCCCTTTACATGGAAACTCTTTCCTCTTAAATATTTGACAGTAACTTATACACCAGAGTTTGGTTTTAATGCTATTAATCTATTATTCTATATATACTAGATTTCTTTATGGAAATAACACTTATCTCTTCTCAGGTGACATTATCTTAAATGAAATTTATATTTTTCTTTTCTAGTTTTAAAATAAATATTAATTATTTTATGATTTTAATAAAAATTTGCATATTTTTTAATTTCTAAATAAAAATTAACCTCTTTTTTTATTTTAAGTAATAGCACTAATTTTCTTTATATTTTAATAAAACGTCAAATTGACTAAAATTTAAATAAAAATCATAAATTTATAAAATAAAGTTTAAAATATATAAAAAAAAGTATTCTATAATAAGAAAAAATATTGTAATAATAAAAAAACATCTGTAAATGTCACTTTATTATGAAAAAAATAATATCACTTATTACAAATACGAGAAATGTAAATATTTATTTAAATAATTTAGAAGATATTTGTATTACTTTATTAAAAACATAAAATAATTATAAATGTTTATTTTAGAAGTAAAGGAGATTAAACATAATTTAGAATAACATGAAAGTAGATAAGTGCAAATTTGTTTTCTGATTTGGAGAGTGAAGGATTAACAAGAGAGAGAAAATACAGTTTAAAGCATTTAATAAATTATAATTATTTGCTATATAGTTTGATTGAAAATCCTCTTAAGAAGCATATATTTGGTAATTTTTTTTTGGTTTTTGTTCTCACTTTTTGATTGGTCCCAACTTTTGTGGAACTTGTTTGTTTGAATAAGAATGATTTTAGCACAATTATTCTTTATGAACAAGAACAATTCTATCAAAAGGCAAGTGGATTCATTAGCAAATCCTTTTACATACCAACACCAGGGATTTAGTGTACCCCTTCAATGCACTTATTCTTAATTTTTCCTATAATTTCATATTTCCAATATGCACTAGAATACAACATAATGAATTCAAACCCAACATGCATACTCATTACATACAACCCTAACAATACAAAATTTAATCAAACATGACCTTTACATTCCACTCCATTGCTAAGTTCATTGCGAAGGACCCACAATTTTTGAAAAATCAGAAAACGAAATGCAATGAATTGAGAAAGGGTATGTGAGAAATTATTATATACTCATCTTAATTTTCTTTTAAAAAAGTTGAATAATATTCATATATATCAAATTAGTCATTTTCAATTAAATTTAGAACCAACTTTGATTAAATTTAGAACGAACTTTGATTGACACCACAATATTCAAGATATGAGTTAATGTGAAAGCTCCCTTAACTAATTGTTTTAAAATTTTGGATAAAGAACAGTTTTAATATCTTATATGATTCAACTCAGATGTTATTGGTATTATATGATTTAAAATTTTGGATAAAGAATAGTTTTAATATCTTATATAATTAAACTCAGATGCCATTGGTATTTATATTTTTCCATGAACCTTTTTCTCAATAGATCAAATTCTAGTATTAGAAAACAAACTGTTATTCGCGTGTTTAGTTTGTTTATGTCTTCACTCTATAAAAGAGCATACATCATTATCATGATCAGTGTACAAAATAAATCACGTTGGGACAACAGTTTATTATAAAGTTGGTTATCATTTCCCAAAGTGATTATTTCCTAAGAACAGACGAAAAGTTTTAATCAATCGAAGTTTCATATGATTAGGAAAGTCAGTGAATACAAAATCCAAATAATCCAAAACTGCATAAAAACAAAAATAAAGTTACACTCTGTTTAAAATTTTCATTTCCTATGAACACACGAGACAGTGTTTAATTCTAATCTATGATCTATCTAAAGGGAGCATGGCAAGAGGATTTGGACTACGTGGAGCTTTAGACTTTCTAAGTTCTTTACACACATTATCTAACATCCCCAGAAAATCTCTAACAATCACAAATATCCTCAAAGGATTTGCATCTTCTTTGCTCACATCCCCATGAAAATATTCCGTGATTTCTTTCACACGTACCAATACTTTATTTTCATCTCCTCGTAACTCTTTCAAGTTTGCATCAGCGTAGTTCAGAAATGACTTCATACACTGTACAAAGTTAATGCTTCTCTCATCTTTATGCAGTTCCTTTTCCACTATATGTTGCAGCTTTTTCATACCTTCTGATAGATTCGACACAGAGCTTGCAAGAACATCCAAGTCTATTGTGGCTGTTTTCTTCACGTTGTATAACTCAGTGCTGAGACCAGAAACAAGTTCTAATCCCATTCTTTTGTAATCTTCTTCCTTCTCTTCCTCCGTTCTGTTCTTACTTCTCTGGCTGATTTTTCCCATAATGCTATCTGAAACTCTTATTCCTTCCGAACGAACAATCTCCTGAACAACGAAATGGAGCAACGTGGTTTTCCCATCAGTTCCCTTAACATCTGCAAGCTTGAGAAGGGCATCTAGTTTAAATGCTCTAGCACCTCCTCTGATTGTTCCAACGTTCATACGGTTTCCTGTTTTGAGCACTGCTTCTAGTAGCTTCAAGAATAACCTGCTTGATCGAAGTTCCTTGCATGCTTCCTATGGAAATGGGAAAATGACAACGTGAAAGAAAGAATTCACAAAGCTTTCAATGGGATGAAAAAACTTCAGTTTGGTGTCTAAACAAAACCCAGAAATAATAATGCTGTCAGATCAAAGTTAGAGTTTTATCTGATCATTTATGTTAACATTTAATGCAACCTTTATTTGGTGCACCTACTAAAAAATTCTAATTTTGTTCGAAATTAAGTACTAAAAAAATGTACAGATGGATATGTAAGTTTTGTCTTTGATGGGTACCTCAAGCATTGAAAATGAGTTCCTGAGGTGAACTACTTCATCGTCAAACGTCTCTCTGAAAAGCATGCCTTCTACTCTTTGAAAGGCATATGGCACATCAAGCATTGCTCTCACGAACCTTTCGGCGGACCCCAATTCATTGATGTCACCTTTATAATTGAAGAGCTTGGATTCTTCTTCCTTGGTGGGTACCATCTTCACTAGTGCCTCTAGTTGGGGTAAAGACAGCCCCTTCCCTGATTTTCAAGAAAACAATAAGACCTTCTTCGACAATATTATTATGACCATCAATTTTCTCCAGCATATGGAATAAATGCACATGAATACTCTCATGTTATGAAAATAAAAGTCGGTGTGAGAATTTACTTAGTGGTCATAACAAGATTGATTATTATTAATAATGTTGTCAATGGAGTAAGGGATACTTTATATAATTATTTCCACCATAAGTATACTTATGGTAACATGCACTTTGGAGTTAGGAACATTTTTAAACAACGATTTCACCTTTTTCTTCGGCATATTTCATAATTGAGGAGTTAACTTTACCTTGCATTAAGGCCTCGCAGACATGCTCTGCTGTCGCATTCAGAGCTTTTGACAGTATAGTTATGTTCTGCAGGCGTTTTGGCTCAAGTACGTGCTTGCCTGGTGACGGGGTTTTACTCTTTGTTTCGTCGTTCTTAATTGAATTTTGCAAGTTGTAACCAAAAAGAGACTCGATCATTTCCTCATCCAACCTGAATCAAATCCATAATGTGCTTAAAACTGTAAAAACAAATGAACATAAAAAAAATTGATGCTGGGCTATGAGTGATTAAGTTGAACTTACTCGAATGAGCTCGATCGCAGTTTATCCCAAACCATTGTGCGATTTGGTGCGGCTCTTACTTTGTCCCAGTGAAGTGGTTTTAGTTTTGGCAATGGTGCGCCATCTTTACCAAGTGGGGTGAATTGGGGGAGTTGAGATGGTGGAGGAGGTGGGGTTTTGGTACTGTTACTATTGCCTTTGAGAAATGGAGGTGG